TTTAATTTGTAATTTTTTTTTTTTTAATATTAACGACTTCATAATACTTCATGATATTTTTACGCTTATTTTAAAAGTTTTTGTTTCAAGTTGTTTGGCTTTTTCAACTAGATTTAACTTATGGAATATTAAGTCCTATTAGTAATTAGCTTTCAATTGAAATCCCTTGAGTTTTGTCCCCTGAGACACGGCTCAGAAAGCGTACTACATTTTAATAATAATTTATTTCAATAATTTTAATTATAAATTCAATCAACTCAAGTTCTTACAAGTACAAGATTATATTATATATATGATAAAATATATTATTTCAAATCCTAAAATGCCTTTCTAATATTTTCTGCCCTAAAAGGACATTTAAAGCTTCAAAGAAGAATTTGTATTTATTTCTTAAAAATATTATTATTTAAATTAAAGATTCGATTTGGAACTTTAAGCTCTACCTAAAAAAAAAAGTATATTTAAACTTAGTATTCCACATTTACCAATACTATACATAATTAATTAACCTTGCTCCTTTTCTTTGCAGTGTAGATACAATGCAAAATCTTAGAGTCTGCGAACCAAACAACAACAATACCAACAAGAAGCAACAACAACAACAACAACAACAAAATATTAATAATAATAATACAAATCCGAATGCGTCTGCTGCGCTACCTCCTATATTACTATAGGTGCGGCCGTATCTGTTTATGTGTCTCAGGCGCTATCTACGTGAATCGTCGGAGCGTCCGTCCGTTAATCTGGCCGTCGCTTGCAGTGCCCAGACATAGTACATACATATGACAATCATAGGTTTTAAGTAGAGCTCCTGTCTAAGCGGCACTTTAGTCAGATTTCGAATTTTGCCAGCATTGCACGGCAGGCAGAACGCCAAGATTAAAGCGAAGAACAAGAAAAGACTCTATAAATAAAACGGAAGACGAGTGTGTGTGTGTGTGTGTGCTWACGCCCGTGATCGAGCGAACAACAAAGAAACCAATCGAGTGTGTGTGAAAGAGAACGAGAGTGAACGTTAAAGATGTCGCAGACACTGGATGATCTGCTGCAGCGACAGGAGCACGCACGCCAGCTGCGCCTGGCCACACGGCCCAAATTTCGTCGCTTCAATTCACTGGATCGCATCCCGGAGCATCCCAGCCAGGATGAGTCCGAGAACGAGGAGCATACCCAACATCGTCATTTCATAACCCTACGGCGCCAGCGCACGGCCGATGGCAACTTGTTGCGTGGCCATGTGCAAGCCTCTAGCGCCACGCGGGTGCAATCCTCGAGCAATTTGTTGCTGCTTGTGCCGCAGCTTTTGATGCGTCTCTTTCTGACGCTGCTGCGCTACATGCTCTATATACCCTTGTCCATAGCGGCGCCCAGCTTCTGGCTGTCCGCCGTGCTCTGGATCTTCTGGAAGCTGCTGCGCGTGCCCATTGGCCTGTTCAAGTGGCTGCTCAGCACCGACGAGGAGCAGCCGGGAGCTCCGCAGCGGCAGCGACATCGTCAACGCACCGTACTCCTCAGCTGCGGCAGCACCATTCAGACACTGCATCTGGCGCGCAATTTCTACGGATCCGGCGCACGAGTTGTGGTCTTCGAGTTTGAGGGTTTGTTTGGTCTGGCGCGTTTCTCGAGCTGTGTGGACAAGTTCTATGTGGTGCCGCGGCCGACCAAGGCTACGGCGGAGCAGTATATAGCCGCACTGTGCCACATCGTGCGCAAGGAGCGGCCAACGGTATATGTGCCCGTCTGTGCCACGAGTCCGGCCTACTACGATTCGCTGGCCAAGCCGCACCTGGAGCTGTTGGGATGCGCCAGCTTTGTGCCCGGTGCCCGAGAGACCCAGCAGCTGGACGACTGCCTGCAGCTGTTTCGGCGCTGCGAGGCGCAGCGGATAACGCTGCCAGCGCATACTGTCATAACGGCACCGGAGCAGCTGCATCAACTGTACGAGGGCGGCTTTGCGGCCGGCTATCGGAATATATTCATGGCCTGCGGCATGCAAGGAGTCATGGAGCGACACAAGTACATATTGCCCACGCGCCGGGTCGAATTGCTGAAGTTCAATCAGCACGAGATCAGCGAACGCCAGCCCTGGCTGGTGGTGCGTGATCAGCCGGGCTATCATCACTATGTCACGTGCACAACGGTCAAGGACTCGCGGGTCGTGGCCAATGTCAGCTGCCGGGTGGAGCACAATACCAAGAATCTGATACCGGTGCGACGGGACGATGAGGCGCAGATCGAGCTCTGGCTGCGCAGTTTCTTTGCCAAGGTGCGCTTCCAGCGCAGCATCAATGGCCATGTCAGCTTTCGCCTGGTCAAGTCGCCCACCCATGGCGGCCACTTTGTGCCGCTGGGCGTGCGACTGGGCGTGGCGCTGCCCTACATCTGTCATAATCGCTCGCACGCACAGCTGCTGTGCCGGGCCATCAAATGCATGTGCATACATGGTCGGACCGGCATGGCCGAGGACGATTCGGCCAGCTGGAGCTGGAGCTGGTCAACGCTGGAGCGTAACACATCGACGGTGCCGCTGGATAAGCGCGAAGCGCTTTTCGCCTATTGGGATCCGCTGCCCTATTGCGCCTACTATCACTTTCAGCTGCCGCTGGAATCTGTAAAGCTGTTTTTGCAGCGACGGAATCGCAGCGAGACCAAAAGTTTATCGCCGCGCATCACGGCGCCGGTTCATTGAACGACGCAGTGCACCAATAGCCGGCTGGGTAGCTAGAAACAGGGCTAGCAACAGCAACAGCAACAGCAACAGCAATAGCAATAGCGACAGCGACAGCGAGAGAGATTGCACAGACTGAACAATAATAACAACTACAACACCAACACCAACACCAACAACAACAGCAACAATATGTACATACATAGACGTAACACATACATAAACAAACAGCCTACATACATACGCAAGCACACACATACATATATACTTACTTACATATAGGCAAATACTGTCACATACATATATACGCGTTTATATACATATATACTTTATTTTGTTTACTTGATGCGCACACATCCAATGGGGTTCAACATCTATCTAAGAAGATTAGGCTAGCATAGAGTACATTATGTACACATACATACACATGCATAGACGATTATGTGCAGAAACACTTGGATCTGGCACTATCACACACACGCGCACACACACATGGAAGCCCATAGGCTTTTTAGTTTATTGACTTTGCAATATAATAAAATTTATAATTTATATACGAATTACCCATAATGTTTTTATTTTTCAGCAAGCACATTTTTAAATAAAATAAACATCAAATACTGAATCAGTCGACCAACTGACCACCACTGATATCCTGCTGTCGTATTCTTGTTGGCGGTGGTTGTTTTGGCCACGTTTCTTCCGTTTTTCAGTTTCGTTTTCGTTTGGGTTTACGTTTTGAGCGCCGGTTGCCTGGTAACGGCTTTAGGTCAGTTTAATTGCGGTTAGAGCTGGCGCTAACTGAACCATTCCCATTATCCTTATCAGACTAACCCCTCGATAGAGGGTATAAAAGGCTTGAACACAGCGCAACCAACAACCAAGGCTAGAAGAATTATGCAAATTATGTATACTATACACCGTATTTATATTCACATTTATGCAATATGCTAATTATTATACATACGCACATATACGTATGTATATATATTATTTCTGTTGTAAATTTTTATTTAAGTACGCAATTTCAACAAGTTATGAGTAATTTTTTACTGTTACATTTAAAATTTTAAGTTAATAATTAGGAAAAGGTAAAAGCACTTTAATTTGTATATTTACATTCAAAAATGACAACGGTTTCTCTTTATAGCAATTCTGATCCGTGAGAATTGCAACGTTGACACGTGAATGGCTACGTTTACAGCCGACCACTAGAACACTCGGCTCGCACGTAGAAAACAAAAAGTAGCAACTTTCTGCAAAGTAAATAAGTGGAAATACGGTTTTTGCCACGCAATGAACAACGGACCGAACGATGGTGCTTCCTTGCACCGTGGTCGTGGCGCCGCCCACCTGGACAGGGCCGCCACTGGCGTGGCAATAAGCATTGACAGCGACAACGATGACAATGAGTCAACGACAGCTGAGCATGATTACCTGCTGCCAGCGCCTACGCCGCCCTCGTCGCTAGTGACCTCGGCACAGCCATTGATGGGGCCAAGTGCAAGTACAACCATTAATTTGGAGCAAACCAATCAGCAGCCGGCGCGCAGCAGCAGCGTCAGTGGCGGCCGTGCGAGTAGCAGCAATATACTGTCCACGCTCCTGGCCCGGCAACGATCCTTTACGCCCGTCAGCAGCACACCTATGCGCGTGACCTCGCAGGTGAACCGCCGTCTGCAGCAGTCGCGCAGCGTGGGCGCCAACAGCGGCAGCCTCGAGGAGCCACCAGCACAACCAGCATCTAGCGCTGCATCGCCGGCGAATGTACGGCAGCTGGGCTTCTGGCGTGTCAACTTCAACGAAATGTTCTCACTGTCCACGGCACCCTCAACCGAGGCGTTGCGTTCGTTCATTGCACATTCCAATTTTCGCTATCAGCAACCGACAACCGGCAATGCCGTGCCGCCAACAAGCGCTCCCGTTCAAGGTGACAATACGCATATTTTGCTAAACCAGAATCAGCCGCCAAGCCAGAATGAGCCGGAGGCCAGCACTAGCGCGTCCATACCCACGCGCTCGAGCGCCTACAACAGCGCCGGCATGGGCAGAAGCATTTCGCTGCGCGAGGGGGAAATGCAACAGGCGCGTCATAGCCTAACAGGTCGCCACAATGCCAGCGTGATTGGCCTGACAACGCCGGCAACGGCGAGCATCAATCCACCTGCCTATGATGCCACGCTCTCCGATCCGCTCGCTGCTGCTGATGCCGCCTCCTCGGGCGCCATCAATGCAGCGACGTCGGATGGCGCCGGCAGCCCCAGTGGCAACGGCAATGGCAATGCGGCGCACGAGAACAACGCAGACGATGATCACCTAATAACGGACATGGTGGTGCAAGTGCTTAGCCACTTCGTTCGCTATTTGCCCATCATATGCATACTGCTGATCAAGTTCGTGCACGACCACCTGCTGGGCATCCTCGATCTGCTGCTGCTGCAGACCATCATGTACAACATTAATCGTTCGGTGCGCAATCAGGTCGCCCGTCTGGCGCAAAAGAACTATGCGGTGCTGCTRCGCGACAGCTGCACGTTGGTGGTGGTGGTTGGACTGCGTCTATTCTTGGCCACAGCGCCACCAGATCCTTTGGGCCTGCTGGTGCCGCCGCCCAGAAACTATCAGAATATTGGCATCTCCACTACGCACTACAACATTGAGAGCATCCACAGCAATGGACTCGACGATAGTCCATCGACCACGTTCCAATCGAGCGCCGAGACGCCAAAGAACTTGACCGACGATGCAACAGCATCGAAAGTCATTCCGCTGGGCATGTTGCTCTACTATATCGCCGTCAGCGACCTGCTGCTGAAGCTAATCACCATTCTCATCAAGATTCTTATAACCATGCTGCCCATGCATGTAATCCGACTGAAAGTGCGCGTAAGTAATTGAACTCTCTCTCTCTCTTATCTGCTCATCATTTGTTGAGTCACTGCCAATCGAGGTGCAACCACGGACAAGCAATCAACTTGTTGTTTGTCTCGGTATTCGAAGCACCTTTACCTAATATCCACGTCAGACTAATTGACTCAGATGACGATTGCTTGCATTCCATTCTCAGGCCCGTCTTTATGTATTGGTGGAATACACATCGCAGTTTTATCGCGCATTGGCCCCCATCACACAATGGTTCTTTTTCCTCTACGAGTCGTATTCGGGACTGGAGGTTATTTCGGGTGGCCTCTTCTCCTCCCTGTATATTGGGGCCAAGATCTTTGAGCTGCTAGAACGTGGCAAAGCCCTCAAGAAAGCCGTCTCCACATTTAGGCGCAATATTGTAAGTCACATAAATAGAAATGCAGAAACTATTTAACTATCGTTCTCATGTAACTGACACAGGACTCGGAGCGGCCGCCTACAAAGGACGAACTCGATGCCGCTGGCTCTGTCTGTCCCATTTGCCATGACGTGTACACTGCACCAATAATACTGGAGTGCGGACATATATTCTGTGATGAGTGCGTCCAGACATGGTTCAAACGCGAGCAAACCTGTCCAATGTGTCGTGCCAAGGTCAGCGATGATCCTGCCTGGCAGGATGGAGCCACAACGTTTTTCCATCAGCTCTACTAAGTGCAGAACAATTGAACTTTTTACCTAATTATTATTCTGCTATTCATCTGTCTGTCTATGTGTAAATAGCTTAAGCTAGCATTTTTGCAATGCTGCACAAATGTTTATTTAGTTTAACAGTTATTAATTATTATTATATATATATACCTCTTGTATTTTAAATGAAAAGCTATGTTTACTTTGCATTGCGGCGTTTGGCAGCTGCAAATGATTGCGACTCGAAGTAGGCGCCATCGCTGCTGGTTGCCTTCTTGTTAATATCACAATGACGCTCCTTACTCACAATTTCCTCCAGGATCTCACTGTCGCCTTTGATGAGACGAGTTCGGCCAGTCACGGGGTCGACCTCACGGCGTATTTGACTTTGACGACGCTGGTACTCCTCCGGTGTTTCCGGCGCATGCGATTTGCTATTCATAAGTGCTTAAATTAGAGCGAAATGTTAACTCATTTGAGTAGCTGTTGTTGAAAACGTAAAGATGGCTTTGACCGACCTATAGGTATGGCGAAGTCATCCTCGCCTCCACTGTCCGCAGCCGCAGCCACTTGAAGTGAGATCTCTTCCACAACCGGCGTTTCTTCCTTTGCTTTCTTCAGCTTTATTTTGTCTTCCCTCTTAGATTTCCTTGATTTGATTTTATGCTTCTCTTTGTGCTCTTTACGCTTGCTCTTATGCCTTTTCTTAGATTTCTTTTCACTTTTACCCATTTTGTTCAAACGTGATTGTTTACAAATTCAATAAAAATATCAACATACAGAATCCACAACCCTTCTGTCACTGCTTAACATAATCCACAACAATTAACATTTTTCTGGCGCGTTGTTAACACTATTTGCTTTTCATTGTAAAAGCAACTAATTTTTTTTTTTTTTTTTAAACAAAATGAAAGCTATGTACTTATACTTATTATAATTGACAAGCTATGAAATCAAAAGACTGAATGCTATTTTATAGTAAATAACGAAGATTTTTTTCAGCCTATCAAGACGAATCGAAAAATACCAATAACAAAATTAATGGTATGGACAAATTTGACTTATTGTTTGTACTTATTTTTCAAGGTAAAAATGTATACACAAATAACTTTTAGCTAAGCAATTCATCAATTGTTAAAATATTAGCAATCAATTGTGCAACAATTAAAAACATCTTATTGGGCTTCTTGAATTGTAAATTGAGCTGGTCACTCGGGTTTATTGTTTTGATTTTGTATGGATCAGCTGATATTCTATCGATAATTTAAGCGAAAAGCAATCAAATAGTTTATATATTAGCATTATTAAAAGAAAACGCTGAATTGTAGGTAATAATAAAAGTTTTTCTTTTCTAAACTTGTTGAAACGCATTCAATAATTGTTGCTTTTGATAGCCATTCACCCCGAAATTAGAATTGGTGCTGCAAAACGCCATCTGTTGGAACGCATTTTACAGCACTGAATAATTTACGTAGCACGCCGATATAAACCATTAAAATCAAAAAAGAGCCAAACATCTTGTCAACTGTTTACCAACTGGACGCATTAAACGACAACAACTGGCAACGCAACTGAGTACGTACAGCATCCGCTCTAAAACGGCGGCCGATTTGCCAAACGCGACAAATTCGTGTTGTGGACAACACACACAAACACACGCACACCCACAAACAATATCAACGACCACGCAAGAAGCAAAAGGAGCTGAATTCTAAAACACTACAACAACAGCAGCAGCAAAAAATTCGATTTGGCAACGAGACAACTACAACAAAAACAGCAAGAACAACAGCGGACAAAAACTGTGCAACGTGCACACCGCCAGCTAGAGTACAATAAGAATTTGAAGCAAACAGCGCCAAAGGCCAGGCAGCCGTTCAAATAGCCCAGCAGCTAGCCTCAAATCCAACAACAACATCTACAGCAACAGCGACAACAAAGATTGTGGCAACAACAGTCAAGAGGCATAACAATAACAATAACTATAACAAGAAACCAGACGTCCAGGGAGCTGCCACGGTCGAGACACAGCATTAGCATGGAGAAGGTCGCAAGCAAACAATACGAATCGTAAGTGGAAACCGAAATTGGGGCAACATCTTGGCTAGCGTTTGTTAGGTTATGTTCTAATCATGGCTGCGAACCCCAACAAAAATTACAAGAGCAAAGGGAAAACAATTGTTAGTTCGGTTCATGGTGGGAGCCTAAGGCTCACATGAATCCCAGGTTTCGCTGAGACAATTTTCTGAATAGTTTTCCAATTTCTAACTCCTAAGACCCGATGGCAAAGTTTAGTTGCAAGTTGTGCTTAAATACCTAATGTCACAGATTGCAGTGAGTTAATTGCACCAACGGATTGCAGCGCCAAGTTAATTTATTCAATAACCATTTGAAAAGAACCATTAACTAAATAGATTTGCCCGCCTACTAAAATTAGTTATCCTCCTCATCGGTCTGGCGAAAGAGTATATCGGCAGCAAGCTCCTCGTTCTTATCGCATGCCAGATAGACCGGCACAACGACATCCCGGTCAAAGCCAAGCGCCATCAGACGCTCCACAGCCGCCTCCTCCTCAGTATTGAGCGTGGCCGTCATGGGCATCGGTGCATTCAGCATCGAGATGAACTCCTCCTGATTGTTGCGTATGGCTTCAAAGGCGGCGGGATCACTCTCCCGCAGATGTGTCAGCACCAGCTCCAGCAGCTCTGGATTTTGTCGTATCAAATCGCGTACATGGGCGAAATGGGGATCTGTTGCCAAATAGTTGAGACGTTCGGCCGTCTCGCCAATCAAGTTCGCATCGGCTGCGTTTGCGTGTGTCTGTGTCTGTGTCTGGTTAACTGCAGGCACATCTGTGGGTATGCCGGTGATTAGGTATTCTATGGCGCGCTCTGGATGATTGAAGCTGGCTCGTAGGGCAGCGCGCACATCTGGTTCATCATAGCCCATTAGCACCAGATCGCGCACACGCTGCTCATCGGGCGCAACAGAGGGACGCGGTGGTTCTGCGGGGCGTAATTGCTCGGTGTTCCCTGGCTTCGGTTGCTGTGATTCCTTTTGCTCTGCCTCTGTGTTCTTCTTCGGGGGCTCAACCGCATTGACGCTCTTCTTGGTCATTAGCACTATAAACCTATCCTCCATTATGTTGTATTCAGATATCGGCCGATCATCCTGCATAATGCGACCACTATAGATCAACTGCAAACTGTCCACCGGTTGGGATATCTCTGGTAACTCCACCAGCCGTTGCTTTAGATGCAACACATTTTGTTTGTCATCATTCAGTTCCAGGGAGATTGTTTTCTGGTCAAGCGTGCGAATAGTGAGCTTCATGATGCGGTCAGCAGATTGGAGTACATGTACATAGCTCTATACATATAAAAGTATATATATATACAAATATTTATATATATACTTATATATGTGAACTGTCTGTATTTCGGAGTGCTTGGCTAGCTTTGCCGTTAAGCGTGAATTTGGATTTTTGGGTGGGATAAACAACAGACTCATACGACATACAACTCAAACGTGACATGCCATATCCATTGCGTTGCAGGAAAATCTGGCCAGACCTTGTCGATAGCGATGACAGCGATGTGGAGAACGAAATAGATGTTGACAAATTGCCGCCACTGGAGGTGGGGCCCAACGAGAATCGCCTGCAGCACACATATTGCCTGTGGTTCTCGCGCAAGGGCACACAGCGCGCGGCCACCGACTATAGCAAATCGCTGCATGTAGTCGGGCGGTGTGCCAGTGTGCAGCAATGGTGGTCACTCTACTCGCATCTCATAAGGCCAACGGCGCTGAAGCCCTATCGGGAGCTGAGTCTCTTCAAACAGGGCATCAAACCGATGTGGGAGGATCCGGCGAACAGTAAAGGCGGCCAATGGGTCATACGTTTGCGAAAGAACAAAATTGAGCGTGCCTGGGAGAATGTCTGCATGGCTATGCTGGGTGAGCAATTTCTGGTTGGCGACGAAATATGTGGCATAGTGCTGCAAACGAAGTATCCGGTAAGTGCACAATTTATTTTCCTTAAATACAAGCCTGAAAGCCATTCGTATGGAAAGATCTATTCAATCGCGATTACTTTGGCGCTATCAGTGCTGTGAAACGTCTCTTTCGATATACTATCGATATATATTCATATAGATCTTCGTGCCCTTTATTTATTTGCTGTGCCGTTTGTTTATATTTGTTTACGTAGTAGTTGAAACGACGAGCTTCGTTTTTCGCGAAATTTTAAACATCTCTTCCCGGTGCTGTCTTTAATTACATTACTTATGCCGGTATCCATTCATAAAACTGCGCACCTCGTTCATTTCCGATTGAGCATGCAAGGTAAACAGTGCAAAAATTATGTTCCACAAACAAACCGGTGTTCAGGTCTCGTGCTCGTACTATTAGTTGCTTTATGTAGCGGCATTTGTACTATGACGTAACGTAAATACTTGGGTATTTTTTGGTACATTTTTGCCAATGCTGCTAGTATTTTTTAGGCGTCTTGTGGCAACAAAAGTGAAATCACGAAAATATAAGCAAAAGAAATACAAAAAAAAACATTAAATAAATAAGTTTTGTGCAATCACTCGCGTACATAAACATAATATTGAAAAGAAAATTAAATTTACGAAATAACCAACTCGAAATAAAAATGATGGCAATATAAACTTTGCCGCATCAACGTCTGTATGTCATTTCTATAGAGAGAGCTACACATTGAGAGAGAAACTGTCAACAAACGCGAAATACGACAACCAAACGTAATAGTAAAACGGATGTATTCTCACAACTGCGCTTTGAGCAACAGCGCAATCGCACTCAGCATATATTCCACATAGAAGAGCGAATTGTCGCTTCGGTCTTGCCTGCACCGGAAGGCGACGCGTGTTTCAGATTGACGATAGCCAGCAACGCGTCAAGTATGCTTTTAAGCAACGTACGCGTAAAACAATAGGCGACAAAAACATACATACATACGTAGCTACAACAAAATAACGAGAATCAGCAAACAGATATAAGTGGATAGAGAGAGAAAGAGAGTAAATGGATGTTTGCCACCCACAGCAGTAGCGTCGTGCAAACCGGAGCGAAGTGTGAGAAGTGCCCGCCGACTAACTCACTCACACATATTAACACACATACACAACCACAGTCGAGCAACACATAGAAACTCTCGTACGCGAAACACAACAAAACGGAACGTGAAGAGAAAAAACGCCCACCGTGTAGCCCTTCCCCCTCCGTTCGCTGCTAACTTGTGTTACCGTAGCCAGAAGCAACCATCACGTCACAGTCCCCCAAGCGGCAAAAGAAGAGAGCCTCCGTTGGAACCCTGCGCAGAAATCGATTTTTTTTGGCAGTTTTCGTACGTGCTTCGCTTGCGAAGTCAGCCTCAACCATAATTCGTTTAAAACACAGACACATTGTGTCCAAATGTACGCAAACGAGGCCTAAACGCTGCAAACGCACTATATTTGCGAATTTGTGTGAATAGCCAAAGCCGAACAGGTTAACTGCAACGCGATCGATCGGCAAATCCGATGCCGAAAACGACAACGACACTCACGCTGCCACTGCCCCACCCACCCTCGCGAYCTGTGTAAATGTGAATGTGAATGTGAATGCGTGCGCAAAAGCAACGGCGATCGGTGGCAAACGCAAGCTGTTTATCGACAAGTGCACAATAAACAGCCCAAAATAAAGTGAATAAAACGAAGAGTAAATAATAAAAGTGTGCTAAAAACGTTGTTCGGGCATAAATCGTACGCATTGTTCACAAATAAATATCTGTGCACAGGCAGCAGCAAAAATATATTTATTTATACACATACATACATAAATAAACGTAATTTCTTGTTGCCGTCGCTTAAGCAATCGCCGTGAGTCATAATTTAACGTTTTTGTTGCTGTTCCCCACTTGACTTGGCTGCCTGGCATTGAGGTGCTGCTTGCTAGCACTGCTCTGCTACTGCCACTGTCGTCGCTAGTCTCTCTCTTTGCGGCCTCTCTTGAGCGCTAAACACGCGCGCCGTTAACGAAAAAGGCGAAAAGGAAAACGACATAGAAAATACATACATATATTTGAGCATATATTTAAATATAATCGTAAAGATATATGTATATGTGTGTGTGTGTGTGCTTATATTATTAAGCAAAAAGTGAGGTGCGTGCAACAAACAAAATAACAGAAAGCAGAAAGCGACAAACAAACAAACGAAGGGCAAATGTACAAAGAAGAAGAAGAAGAAACAGAAGTCGTATTTATTTAGGGCATGCGAAATACCATTTAGCGGCCACAAAAATCTACGAAAAATCAATAGTCCTCACTTTGTAAGCAGCAGAAAAATAGAATTAGCAAAACGCGTGCAAACAAGTTAAGCAACAAACGAGCGACGCTACAAAAGTTGACAGTTAACTGCTAAACGAACACACGAATATAACAAAGCTTACGTAAAAGCTCAAGTGAAACTGTAAATGCACTTGCAACTGCAATAGCATTTTTCAACCTGCCATTAGCTAAATATACGAAAAAAAAATATATATAAATAAAAAAAAAAATCAACGAATTAGGCCGTAAAACAAATTGAAAATAAACAACAGCAAAAAAAGAAAACAATAAAAATCAACTAGTTCTGCTTCCCGCTTGAAGCTCTGTCAAAAACGCCATGACGAAAGACAGATTAGCTGCCCTGCACGCCGCCCAGTCGGACGACGAGGAGTCGGAAGATGTGGCCGTCAATGTGGATGGCCATGATTCGTATATGGATGATTTCTTTGCCCAAGTGGAGGAGATACGGGGCATGATTGATAAGGTCCAGGAAAATGTGGAGGAGGTGAAAAAGAAACATTCGGCCATATTGTCCGCACCACAGTCGGATGAGAAAACCAAACAGGAGCTGGAGGACCTTATGGCCGATATCAAGAAGAATGCGAATCGTGTGCGTGGCAAACTCAAGGGCATTGAGCAAAATATTGAGCAGGAGGAGCAACAGAAAAATTCATCGGCCGATTTGCGTATACGCAAGACGCAACACTCGACGTTGTCGCGAAAATTTGTCGAGGTCATGACCGAATATAATCGCACCCAGACCGACTATCGAGAGCGCTGCAAGGGCAGAATACAGCGTCAGCTGGAGATAACGGGACGTGCGACCACAAATGAGGAGCTGGAGGATATGTTGGAGCAGGGAAATCCAGCTGTTTTCACCCAGGGCATCATCATGGAAACTCAGCAGGCCAAGCAAACGCTAGCCGATATCGAGGCCAGACACGCAGACATCATGAAGCTGGAGACATCCATCAAGGAACTGCACGACATGTTCATGGACATGGCAATGCTGGTGGAGTCGCAGGGCGAGATGATCGATCGCATTGAGTATCATGTGGAGCACGCTATGGACTATGTGCAGACAGCAACTCAGGATACCAAAAAGGCGCTCAAATATCAAAGCAAAGCGCGACGAAAGAAGATCATGATACTGATATGCTTGACTGTGTTGGGTATCTTAGCGGCTGCATATGTTAGCAGTTATTTCATGTAAATTGATGCAATTACTTAACTTACATACATATATACACATACACATGCATACAAACAGAAGAAACACTCACAACACATATACTCGCATATATACATACACACACACACACACACACACACACTATCGATGTCTGTTTAGGATGTTGTACAACCCACCCCGATATGATTCAGTATATGTTATAATTGAAATACATAAAACAATTTAAGCGGCCCTTGCCAGTGAGTTAACATAGAGACACACATATTTATATATATATATACACACACACACACACACTAACACAAACACACACTTGATACTTTAGGCTCTATAATTAACAAAGAAGAAAAGAATATATTCATTACAAAACTAATTTGTATGATTAGTTTAGAAACCTTGAGAGTCTAGCGGCAAAGTGCGAATATTTGTTATTATAATACGCAGACGGCCGCCTGAGCAATGGATATGCTTATCCAAACGTTCAACTCCCACACACAAACATAAGGGTTAATATATACATATATATGTATATATATGCGCATGCATACATAGATAAAGACGCATCTGGCCTAATAATAACATTTCAAATCGTTTAATTAGCCAGCCCAAAAATTAATGCCGATTAAAATAGAACCGAACAAACAAAACAAAAAGCAATTAAACACAGTCTAAATAATATATAAACAAGC